ATTTCTATTATTTCTTATAACTCATAATTATCATGTATGAAAATAATATAACTCAAATATGTATATAAAGGCTCCAACTTCGTCTAGGAATTGGCAGGCTTGAACATATATTTTATTAAATAAATAACTTGACCTTTGAAAAACAAATTACTATTGTCTCTTTCACCTGACCTCATACACTTCAGAACTGTACTAATTTGTACACCTCTAGGAACTTTAGCATATCATATTGGCCCTGTCCATTTAAAGTGCCTCCCTGCTATTAGTTCTCTGTCTTTATATTTCTTCTGAGGTAGAAACGATATATGACAATATATACTATATATATAAATATAAAAAAATCAAATCAAAAGTTTTTCTTTTTTCTATAATATATTTATTTTAAAGATTTCAATATTTAATAAATCTAATAAAAATCTTATTTTTATATAGCTTAAATCTTTTTAATCAAATTTTTAAAGTTGACTTATATATAGTAAGACTTGAAAATAATAGCTTATTAAATTTGTATAACAGATATAACTCTTTATTTAAAGAAAACTAATTAATATTTTGTTTAAGATATTTGATATTAATCTTTTATTTGTAATAATTAGAATTATTTAACCAAATTTCTCAAATTATAATTATAATTTCCTATAATATTACTTCAGTATTAATTAGAGCTCTGAAAAGTACTGAACCGATATCAAAATGATATGATCTATAGTAAATTTAATATATGAATTGTAATCTATTCATATGTTTTTATAATAAATTTAAGTATCGAACCGGTATTGAAGTGGTATTATTAGGAGCACTAGTATCAATTGACATTAAATTTATTATAAGTTTAATATAATAAGTTACAATTCATATATTAAATTTATTATAAGTTGATACTATTTTAATATTATATAGTATCAGTTTGAAATTCTAGTTGTAGTTAAAAAGAAAATAATTAATTTTTTTTTTTAAAAAAGTATTTTTATTTCTAATAGTAATAAAAAAAGAAAAAAATTATTTTAAAAAAAAATAACTTGACAAGAGTCTTTAAACTTGTTTTATTAAAATTTTTTAAAAAGAAAGTTTTTTAAAAAATTAAAAATTATTTAATAGAAAAATTTAAGTTTTTAAATTTTAGTGTTAATAATATTAAAGATATAAAAATTCTTAGTTCATATAATAGAAGTAAAATAAAAGTTCAAAAAAATATTACCATTTTATTAGAAATCCATATAATATATAAAGAACCTAATAATTTAAATTGATTTGATTCTTGATTCTTGTGTTCATATTAAAATTAATATGTGAATTATAATCCACTATTATTTTTTATAGTGTTTTGAACCTTGTGTAAGTTAATATAAATCTGTTTAATTCTAATTTTTGAAACTATAGTAATATATATATTATTTTTTTCTAGTGTCTATTATATAAAAGAAAATCTGATATTGTAAAAGAAAACTTATTAAATTATTTACAATAGATTTAATTTGATTATATGATTTTATATTCATTTAGATTAGTTTATAAATCTTATAAAATTATTAACAATAAGAACTAGTAGAATCAAAAATCAAATTATTATTATAAATTTGAGTTTTTTTTTGGATTATATTAATTTATTGCAATTTATTTACTTTAATTTTATATTATTAACTTGTGTGCACATATGTTATACAGTATTCATATTTATTTATCAATTATTTTTAATAAAATACTTATATTTAACATGTAATCCAAAAAATTATTTTTTTCTAAAGTCAAAAGTTTCATCTTCTAGCTTGTTATCTAAAGTAAAAGAATATATATTTGTTCAAGTTATAGACAATATAAGTACAGTAAATTTTATTATTCTCAGAAATACCTATATTAAATTAATTTTTTTGAATTGATTCTGAACCTTTTGACCAAAATGAAAAATTGTTGATATTTATTCTTCAAAAAGTTGATATTAATTAAAAATAGTCGAAAGCAAAACATTAATTAGAAAGAATTAAACCATTTTAACACTTTAAATTTATGACAATAAAACTATTTGATTATGCAGATTATCTATAGTTTGTTACTTATATAAATAAGAATAATTTTTTATAAGATATACAACAATAATATGTTAAGAATACATTTTATTTTAATTTTATAAAATTTATTTTAAAAAATTTAAATATAATTTTAATTGTCTGAAGAATACTCTAATGTACAGCAATAGTAATCCAGATGTGTGTGTCTTCTGGTCACGTGACACATAAGAGATAACGGCATGTTAATTTAACAGAGTTTTTTATTATACAGTATTATAACTCTTTTACAGTTAATGCAATTAATGTTCTTGGAGTTGGATTTTTGGGTTACAATTACATTATATATTTTTGCATCATGACAAAAATCTTTGGCTTAATAGTGATTGATAGTTGTGGTAGCGTGATGAGTGCGGGAAACTATATGATCTTGTATTTACTGATTTAAATGAAAGATGATGAAGAGGGAATCAAGAAATGTATAAATAGGGGATATTGTTGTATGTGCTAGTGATATTTGTTCAGACTTTAAATGGTTTCCATTTACTGTACCTAGTACAGTAGTTAGTTAAAATTTAAAATTTAAAATATAATTACTTTTAGAATTTAAGTTTTAATATTTAATAATATTTTCTTTTAACATTACGTACTGCGTGTCACTACAATCAATGCATGAGTGTGGTGTGATTACTAGTGTGGTGTGATTACTAGTGTGGTGTGATTACTAGTGTGGTGTGATTACTAGTGTGGTGTGATTACTAGTAATGTGATTACTAGTGTAGTGTGATTACTACAGTAGTGTGGTATGGTTACTAGTGTGATGTGGTTACTAGTGTGGTGTGATTACTTATACATTTTAACGGGTTTAACGTCAATCAGGTTATTTTTTTGTTGCATTTTAAAACGCAGCCTTAATAATTCAACTATATCAATCATAATGCCAAAGAAAAAGTAACTGTTATCGGAGCTGGGATTTCGGGACTAACAACTGCTGTCTTATTACAAGAAGAATATAATGTGAAAATCGTAGCAAATTAAAGAGCGAACATGCTAGTCCATGACTTGTACAAAATCAGTAATTATTAAGCGTACTACTTCTCGTGATTCTAAAATAAAAATATTATTAGGGCTAGTGCTCATTGGAGAAGCGATGCAAAATCTGAAGACACTCGACAACAAGGTATCTGTATTAAAATTAATTTTCAAAGTCTATATACTATCAAGTTTGTTAATTTATTATTTGAAAGATTTTGACAGAAAAACCTTTATTCACTTTTGGGACCTTGCTTGTACAAAGTCATCAGAAACTGGGATAATGATCGTGGAGGGCTTTGACTATTGGGACGAAATCCTCCATCAGATTGGAAGGAACCATGGTTCAAGGATCTATGTCCAAGCATAATACTAATTCTTAAATATTTGTCAGACAAGTGCATTTCAAAGCTTCAATAAATGAGATTTTCATCTCACCTGCTAGTACCGGCACTTGAGCAAGGAAGAATTATCAAATGGGGTTGAATTCGGAACCACATATAAAACTTGTATGAATATGCGGAATATATTGTACATGATCTTGAAAACATTATTTAAGGCTATGACCAATACTTGAACTTCATTATAACCTTTGAATATAAAGTCCCAATTAATTCTCCCAAGTATCTGTCCTATCTCTTAAAAAGCTTTAACTCACTTGGTGGATCCACTAAATGCATCTCTTTATCTCATATCAAAGATGCAAAATTTGAAAATACCGATATAGTAATTAACTGTTCTGGACTTGTTTCGAAAATTTTAGGTGTCTAAGATAATCATGTCTATCCGGCAAGGGACAAATAATATTGGTGCAATTGCCTGTTGGACACGTAAATTGGACATTTGAACGATATGCAGCTGGAAGGATAGATGGTGGCATGCACAGTAAGTATAGTTAATTTTAAGTATCAAATGTTATTTGATCTTTTTGACATCATTTGAGTTTATAAAGGAAAAAATGAGAAACTCATCTACGTAGTACCGCGTGACAAAGGGGAAGTTGTTTTAGGCGGAACATATGTACGTCGTATTTTCTATAAAATTTTTATTCTTTTTATTAGACAGTCGAAGCTATCTTTGACTACTATCTATGCCATGTAGGGCCAACATGACTGGTAAGAAATTATCCGATTAATATTTAAATCTATGTTCCTTAAATTTAGATAACGTTCGTGAATATTTTATATTTAAGTTTGAACATACCTAATGCAAATATCCGCAAATGAAATTATCGCTCGATGCCTTTCTACTCGTCCAGAAATCATAAGACACGGTGTCAGCTTACGTCCAGTTCGAAAAAATGGAATTAGAATTGAAACAGAATGGATACGTAAGATACTTTTGATTTGAATTTGTATTTAATATATTTTGTAAAACATAAAGGGTTATATGTATTCTTTTTCCTACAATAGTATAGGAAAAAACGGGGGAAAATATTTTAATCTGTTATAACTATGGTCACGAGGATATGGTATAGTAATAAATTTGACATTCTATAATTAATTAATTTTTAAAGATTATTTATTTTTTCTGTGAATATCAGGATGATTGTCAAGTTATGGTGCATCAATGCGTGCAATTCAAATATTAAAGCAAGCTTATAAAGAACGTATTATATCAAAGATTTAAATTTAGCGTCATTGATATATTGATAAATAATTAAAATATGAAGAAAAAACGTATGTTTTATATATAAAATTGCAAGATACGTATTTTGACATGTAGGGCTTTTATATTCAAGTTATTATTGCGATGATAATTTTATAAATAAGAAAATAAAAATTTATAATCGAATTATGGTCGTTATAATTAAGTGGACTAATAATATTATTATCACAAAAAATTTTCCAAATTATCTTTAGTAAATTAGGCAAATAAACTTTGAGATTCAGAAAATTTACTAGATAAAGTATGCGGTGTTATAGAGTATAAGTAATTTACATAATGAAAAATCTTATTATTAGTTTTTATCATTGATTTTTTTTTTACTCTTTGTACACCCCCCCACTCGGCGTTTTCCTTTTTTTTATTGCGATTTCTCTTTGTGCTTTCGTTGATCCATTATCAGCTGCCTTTTTTAAATATTCTTCATATTTATCATATTCGATTTCATAACCATGTTCTCCATTCTTATAGATCTGAGATAACATGTATAAAGCATCAGGATCATTTTTATTTGCAGACTTTATAAGATATTTAAGTCCTTCCTTTCGAGAGTGATAGGTTCCATAAAGACAGGCATTAGCGTACATATACCGCCCTCGGACATTACCGCCAACAGCTGATTTTTGTAAAAATTGTAGAGCTTGAATTTCGTCTCTTTCAATGCCATAATTTCCTTCGTAGAGATAAAGTCCTGCATAATAAGACGCTAAAGGGTTCCCCTCTTGAGCTATATGCAAGAATAATGGAAAAGCCTCCTCAAACCGTTGTTGTTCGTGAAGTGATACAGCTTGTTCAATAGAAAGCAAGAGAGGTGATTTTAAATCCTCTAGGTAATGAACTTTCATTTTTGTAAGTTTCTTTTGTATATCTTCAATTTCTGGACGTTTCTTGGGTTCTTGATTCCAGGCTTGCTCGACTAATCTTTTATATTGTTCTGGTGTGTCTGATGAAAATGGTTTAGGGCGCTCTCCTTTTTTTATTTCTTTTTCTGCATTACTATGACTCTTGTTACAAAATGGAATTTGTTGTGCTGAAATTTCCCAGAGAAGTGTGGCAAAACTGAAAATTTAATAAACTTCGTTAGTTTCCAATTAATTATGTAAATGTTCATGACTTTATCATACCTATATACTTCGCATTTTTCTGTGTATGGTAAATATGGAGACTCGAGTTTTTCCGGTGCAGTCCATCTAAATTTTGCGAAAATTATTTGTAAAAAAAAAATCTAATAAACTATTAAATATAAATTATATGTGTAACCTTTTTCTATCAGTTGGCATTTGTATTGATTCTCCTACGATGACTCTGCTCCTCTCAAAATTAGTAAGCTTTACATCTAGATTTTCATCAAGTAACACACTTTTGCTAAAACAAAATAAATTTATTACATAACTTAAATGCGTATAAAAAAAAGAATTAATAAATTTAAGCACCTTCTGACGTCTCGATGATAAACTCCTGCGTTATTACAATAAGTGAGCCCTTTTGCAATTTGTTCCGCAATTTTTAATTTAATTTCCCATGTAATAGACTTATTTTTAGCCAAATAAGCTTCAAGATTTCCCTTTTGCATCCAAGTAGTAACGATAAATGTAAATTCTATTTTATTACATTCTTTGGTATATGTTCCTATACTAAGAGTAATAATTGATATATTTAGATATATTTATAATAAGCAAGGTGAGAAGATAGTGTAAACACTTACAATTTTTCAATATATTCACAGGCGCTAAGTAAATTGAGAATTCTTGATTGTTTAACAATTTTCTGTCTTTTTCTCTGTTCGTCTTCATTATTGGATTCCTTTTCATAAATCATCTTTTTTACTGCAACAAACTCCCCACAATATATTCGTTTTCGAATAGTCTTTATAGCTCTTATGCAATCATCATTATGGTAACTTAAATCCTTTTCATTTTCATTTTTAATTTTTAATGGATCAATTTTTAAACCCTCGATTTCCTTATCCGATATACTATCCACTTTCTTTATAAGCATGATTTTAAGGGCATTGATTCCTTTTTTATTTTCTTCAGTATTTTTTAAAATTTCACTAATTTTATTGTATTGCTCACGTTCCAAAGTTTTGTAAAAATCCAAGGTGGCATCCGTTAATTTTTGAAGTAATTGTTCATTAGCTGATTGAACCTTTAATAAATTGTTTCTATTTAATTAGATTATAAATTTATTTTTTGTCAATCATAAAAAAGATAAAAAATCTTACATTATTTGTATTAGCAATATGCTTGAGTCATGTTTTTACTTTCTTGCTGAACTTCCCAGGTTTATTAATTTCATCCACGTATGACTTTATAGTTTTCAACACTTTTTCATAGTCATTTCGCGATTTTTCGATTTCATCATGAGGTGGAAAATCTGCAATAGTTTTTAAACATTCATGTACACGCTCAGAAATATATTTACAAGCTTCTTTATTATGCTTAGCGCTTTCCGCTGAATCTATAATATCCTGTGCTATTTCTTCTGCAGTTGTACCGATAAATGGTACAAGACTAAGTGCTTTAACAATGCCATATCGGGTGATATTTAAGGTAGAGCTCCTTAAACCGTCATATGGATTGACTTCAGCATTATTTAAATGTTGTGATATTAAAGGACTCTTCATTAGATACACTTATTGTAAAGGATAAATGATATGCGTGCGTATTTATATATAAATGTCATATTTCATAAAATAAGCATATATTAAAATTTAGAATATTTTATCTAATAATATAAATATCACGCGGTGCCCAAAAGCAACATAAACGATGGTTCCTACGTTTCACAAATTATCGTATGTCGAGAAATTTTTTATAAGATCATGCATACACAATTGGGTTACATTGACATCGGAGTAATCACACTACAACATATATTAGGTAGCAGTATGGTCAAAGTTAATATGGGAAGTACAAAAAGTCACGCAAACAAGAAAATAAACGTGAGCTAATATTTATCGGGTGATTTTAATTTTACGAAATTTAACGTATATACAGCATTACTGTATATAAGTAAAGAAATTGTATTTACCAATTTTCCTTTAAATTTTTCGCAATTTCTATCTTTGAAAAACACTCAATATATAAATAATGAGTGAATCCCTTGCTGATAACTGTTCTGCTAACAAATCAGATACTGAGAACGGGGCAGTTGTTGGGGATGGGTTTTTCAAAGGACAAATTACTACGGATATAGTGAGGTTAGATAAACATTTTCGTAGAATTTGGAGATCAAAATTAAGTTTGGATTCTTATCCGTTAGACCTCAAACAACTTTGTGAAGAGCTTCATGAAGAGTTTCGCAATGATAATTCTCTTAAAGATTACGAAAAGGAATATCTAGAAAAGAAGCTTCTAGAATATCAAGATAAGTTTAATCTGGAAAATCAAACTGGTGTAAAAAGATTATGTAAAGATTGTAAAAATTTAACATATGCTACTCGGTTTTGTGAATATTGCATTCGAAATAAGTTGAAGCAAAATTTTGACAAATGGGATTCTGGGGATAATAAAATTAATAAAATAATTCAAGAGGTGCAAAAAAATGTGGTCTGTCCATATCAAATTGTTGAATGGATTCCTTATGAAAACTTTGACAATATAAAGTTATTTAGTAATGGTGGCTTTGCAACAGTTTTTACAGCGACATGGAAAAATGGATATTTTAACGAATGGAATTCTATAACAAAGTCATTAGAAAGACGTGGTGAACCACAACAGATAGTTTTAAAACAATTAAATTCTAGCACGGATGACAGTTGGCTTAATGAGGTAAAAACGATTTTTTCATATAAATAAATTAAGATTTTACATTTAATTATTTTCTATTACTGAACAACAGGTAACTTCTCATTTTTCAATCGACAAAATTGCTCAATATATTCTTCCTTGCTACGGAATAACAAGGAATCCAGAAACTAAAGAATTTATGTTAGTCTTAAATATAATGGAACAAAATTTACAAGATTACTTGATTTACAATCAAAATATTGGATGGGAGCAAAAATTCGACATCATTTATGAAATAACGGCCAGTTTAAACGAGATTCATTACAAAGAATACATTCATGGAGATTTACATGCAAAAAATATCTTAATTCAAAATAATCTAGCCCTTTTTGTTAGTGATTTGGGATTTTGTAAACCTGTCAATAATATTTCGGCTTTTGAAAAAATATATGGTAATATTCCCTACATCGCTCCTGAAGTTTTACACGGTGATTCATATACCAAAAAAGCTGATATTTATAGTTTAGGAATAATCATGTGGCAAATTGCAGCTGAAGTACCACCATATCATGACATTAATTTAAAAAATAAGAAAACTTCAAATGAATTTGTAAAATCAGTTATAGGTGGAATGCGTCCAGATATTAATATGGGAATACCAGAAAAATACAAAACTTTAATGCAACAATGTTGGGATGCAGATCCGGCAAAAAGACCAGATACCTTAAAAATTTGGCAAAGGGTTCGTGAATTAAGACTGGAATTTATTAATGCTATAGATAAGGCTAAAGCTATTAATAATGGTAATAGCTTTTCTGAAGAGGAAATCTTAAATATTTCTAAAGAACCGATTTTTTTATCCGAAGATCAAAAATTACAATCAAGAATGTCTACGTCTTGTATCCTTGCGCCATTTAAAAATTCTCCAAAACCTATTAATATTTCGCCAGGTCAGCATTATCTTATTTTAATCAATTTTTAAAATTATTATTAATATTTGTATAAATTATTTATTTACAGAAATCAGTAATAAATTATATTTAAATCTTCGTAAGTTAACTTATAAGCACACAATTTAAAATGCGTATACAGTATAAGCTTATTTACCTTTACATTTTAGGGAAGACACAATTTTAAATTCCCGTCATGTAAATTAACGGTCAAGAAATCTAATATCTTATTTTTTTTTATTAAAATCATTAATACGATGAAACAGATGTTAGAAACATAATATTTTATATTATATCACAAGTCAAAAAACCTTTACTCCAATTAATAAGTTTTCTATGTACTATATTATTAATAGGTTAGGAAAAAAAACTAGCAATATATATTTAATTAAAATTTTTATATTATATCAAAGTTTTATTTTAAATAAATTTTTTTTTTACAATTTAAAAGTTTAATAGTAATGTATCTATTTTTAGGTTATTAAAATTTTTTAATTAAAAAACTTTATTTAGGACCTAGTTCCTAATATGGTATGCTATACTTCATACAGAACAAAATTCAAATGATAAATTTGAATTTAAAAAATAAATTATGTATCAATCCCGCCTTAACTAAATTTAATTAAAATTATTTATTAAAAAGAAAAATTCTAAACTTATAAATTAGGTAAAATTTTAACTTTTTGATTTACTTTAAAATTTTGATTGGAGGTTACTTTTTGTGTGGTGACTACATTTTTATGCTCATAGTGTTGACTATTTAATTATTTAAAAACGTTTGCCTACATTATTTTAATTACACTTATGCGAAGGCTGAAAGTGCAAAATTTTAAGATGCTATAAAAATTTAGAGACTAAAAGTAAAATATATATTGTTTATAAATAGATTTACAATCTCATAAAGATATCCAAAAAAAATCAATGATTCGTTACTACGTCTTATTCATTTTTAATATTTCGAGTTCTCTTTGTGCTATCTCTGATTCGTTATTAGCTGCATTTGATAAATATTCTTTATATTTATTATCGTTGATTTCATAACCATGTTCTCCATTCTTATAGATCTGAGATAACATGTATAAAGCATCAGGACAGTTTTTATCCGCAGAATTTTTAAGATATTTAAGTCCTTCCTTTCTAGAGTAATAGGTTCCATAAAGACAGGCATTAGCATACATGTACTGGCCTCGAACATTACCGCCAACGGCTGATTTCTGTAACAACTGTAGAGCTTTAATTTCGTCTCTTTCAACGCCATAATTTCCTTCGTAGAGGTAAAAACCTGCGTAATAAGACGCTAAAGGGTTCCCCTCTTGAGCTATATGCAAGAATAATGGAAATGCCTCCTCGAACCGTTGTTGTTCGTGAAGTAATACGACTTGTTCAATAGAAAGCAAGAGAGATGATTTTGTATCCTCTAGGTAATGCATGTTCATCATTGTAAGTTTCTTTCGTATATCTTCAATTTCTGGACGTTTCTTAGGTTCTTGGTGCCAGGCTTGCTCGACTAATCTTTTATATTTTTCTGGTGTGTCTGATGAAAATGGTTTAGGGCGTTTTCCTTTTTTTATTTCATTTTCTGCATCCCTATGCGACATATCACTAAATGGAATTTGTTGTGCCGAAATTTCCCAGAGAAGTGTAGCAAAACTGAAAATTTAATAAACTTCGTTAGTTTCCAACTAATTATGTAAAATTTCATGACTTTATAATACCTATATATTTCGCATTTTTCTGTGTATGGTAACTTTGGATATATAAGTTTTTCCGGTGCAGTCCACCTAAATGTAGCGTAAATTATTTGTGAAGATGAAATCCAGTAAATTATTTAATTATGAAATATAAGTGTAACCTTTTTCTATCTATTGGCATTTCAGATGTCTCTCCTGTAATTATTCTGCTCTTCTCAAAATTAGTAAGCTTTATGTCTAAATTTTCATCAAGTAACACACTTTTGCTAAAATAATAATAATAATAATAATAACAATAATAGAGTCACTGAAATCAGTATAAAGAAAAAATAAAACTTTACGAACCTTCTGACATCTCGATGATAAACTCCTGCGTTATTACAATAAGTGAGCCCTTTTGCAATTTGTTCCGCAATTTTTAGTTTAGTTTCCCATGAAATAGACTTATTTTTGGCCAAATAAGCTTCAAGATTTCCTTTTTGCATCCAAGTAGTAACTATAAATATAAAATCTAATTCATTATATTTTTTGGTATATGCTCCTATACTAAAAGTAACAATTGATAGATTTAGTTATGTTTATAATAAACAAGGTGAGAAGATTGTGTAAACACTTACAATTTTTCAATATATTCACAGGCGCCAAGTAAATTGAGAATTCTTGATTGTTTAACAATTTTCTGTCTTTTTCTCTGTTCGTATTCATTATCAGATTCCTTTTCATAAATCATCTTTTTTACTGCAACAAATTCCCCACAATATATTCGTTTTCGAATACTATTTACAGCTCTTTTATTATCATCATCCTGATAATTACAATCATCTTTTTCGTCATTTTCATTTTTAATTTTCAATGGATTAATTTTTAAACCCTTAATTTCTTCGTTCGTTATATTATCTTTTTTTATAAGCATAATTTTAAGGGCATTTATACTTTCATTATTTTCGGTTTTTTTAAAAATTTCAATAAGTTCAATGAATTGGTCATATTTCAAACTGCTGTTAAAATCAAGAGTGGCATCCGTTAATTTCAGAAGTAATTTTTCATTAGCTAATTGAACCTTTAATAAATTATTCTTTCAATAAGGATATACGGATTGATTTTGACAGCTCGTAAAAGATAAAAAAAAAATCTTACATTGTTTGCATTAACAATATGCTTGAGCCATGTTTTTACTTTTTTGCTGAACTTCCCAGGTTTATTAATTTCAATCGCGTAAGACTTTATTTCGTTTAACACCTTTTCATATGCTTTTTGCGATTCACTGTAATCACCTTGCAATGGGAGCATAGCAATAACAGTTAAACTCCTTTGCACACACTCGGATATATATCTGCACGCTTCTTTATTATGATTTGCATTATTCGCTAAATTTATAATATCTTGTGCTATGTCTGCCGCGATATTTCCGATAAATGGTATAACATCACACATTTTGACAAATCCATAGTTAGCGGTAGCTATGGAAACATCCGTTAAATTATTAGACATTGGCAATCGTAGTTTCTTCGGGAAGAAAAAGAATATATGTGCGTATTTATGTAAACGTAATACTGTTAAATACTGAATTTATGTATGCCAATATAGTCACATGTTAATGCTTTGTACTGTATGTGGTCATTAAGAATTTCTTTGTCGTACAAAATTTCAGGTGAAAAATAACATAGCGTGATTAATCGAATGACTTTATACAGTAGCATGAATAATCCAAAATATCCAAATATCCAAATATGGGTAGTTTATATAAGAAAACTCGCAAAAAGTTAAATGTCATTTATCGGAAACTTTTAAAAAAATTTTTTTGACAATAATACATCTATTATTGAAAAATTCAATAATAAATCGATGGAGTCAACATGGGGTATAATTGTTGGAGATGCGTTTTTCAAAGGACAAATTACTATGGATATAGTGAGGTTAGATAAACATTTTCGTAGAATTTGGAGATCAAAATTAAGTTTGGATTCTTATCCATTAGACCTTAAACAACTTTGTGAAGAGCTTCATGAAGAGTTTCGCAACGATAATTCTCTTAATGTTCAAGAAAAGGAATATTTATAAAGTAAGCTTCTAGAATATCAAGATAAGTTTAATCTGGAAAATCAAACTGGTGTAAAAAGATTATGTGAAGATTGTAATAATTCAACATACGCTACTCAGTTCTGTGAATTTTGCATTCGGAATTATTTGATACAAACTTTTGACAAATGGGATTCTGGAAATGATAAAATTAATAAATTAATTCAAGAGACGCAAGAGAACGTGATCTGTCCATATCAGGTTGTAGAATGGATTCCTTATGAAAATTTTGATAATATAAATTTGCTTGATCAAGGTGGCTTTTCAACGGTTTTTACGGCGACATGGGAAAATGGATATTTTAACGAATGGAATTCTATAACAAAGTCATTAGAAAGACGTGGTGAACCACAACAGATAGTTTTAAAACAATTAAATTCTAGCACGGATGACAGTTGGCTTAATGAGGTAAAAACGATTTTTTCATATAAATAAATTAAGATTTTACATTTAATTATTTTCTATTACTGAAAAATAGGTTACTTCTCATTTTTCAATCGATAAAATTGCTCAATATATTCTTCCTTGCTACGGAATAACAATAAATCCACTAACTAAAGAATTTATGTTAGTCTTAAATATAATGGAACAAAATTTACATGATTATTTGATTTACAATCAAAATATTGGATGGGAGCAAAAATTCGATATTATTTATGAAGTAACAGCTAGTTTAAACAAGATTCATCACAAAGACTATATCCACGGAGATTTAAACGCAAAAAATATCTTAATTCAAAATAATCTAGCCATTTTTATTAGCGATTTAGGATTTTGTAGACCTGCCGATAAGATTTCTACTTCAGTAAAAATATATGGTTATCTCCCCTACATCGCTCCTGAAGTTTTACACGGTGATTCATATACCAAAAAAGCTGATATTTATAGTTTAGGAATAATAATGTGGCAAATTGCAGCTGAAGTACCACCATATCATGACATTAATCTAAAAGAGAAGCGCGTTCAACGTCTTTTCGCAGAAGCAGTTATAGGTGGAATGCGTCCAGATATTAATATGGGAATACCAGAAAAATACAAAACTTTAATGCAACAATGTTGGGATGCAGATCCGGTAAAAAGACCAGATACTTTAAAAATTTGGCAAAGGGTTCATGAATTAAGACTGGAATTTATTAATGCTATAGATAAGGCTAAAGCTATGAATAATGGTAATAACTTTTCTGATGAGGAAATCTTAAATATTTCTAAAGAACCAATTTTTTTATCCGAAGATCAAAAATTACAATCAAGAATGTCTACGTCTTGTATCCTTGCGCCATTTAAAAATTCTCTAAAACCTATTAATACTTCACCAGGTCAGTATTATCTTATTTTAATTAATTTTTAAGCTTATTATTAACATTTGTATAAATTATTTATTTACAGAAATAAGTAATAAATTATATTTAAATCTAAGTAAGTTAATTAATATTATATATTATTAAACAATTTTTCAATGGTGTTTAATCTTATTTATATCAAATTTAGGAAAGTGATAATATTAATAAGCGTAAACATCTTATTTTATATATGGTTATTTTTTGTTACATATCGATGTTTTATTATTATATATTAAATAAAATACAATACTGTTTATTGGTTTATAAAGATCTTTACGGTGTATAAATGTATAATTATATTTTAAAAATCATTCTAACTACGTAATAAATGTTAATTTAACAACCAAGTAGTAGAAATATGTAGAACTTGATAATATAAAAATAGACTCCGCTTGGCAAAGTGACATCTATAGTCGTATGTTATGGTCTTACGTTTAAAATTACTGTAATTGATCGTACACAATCATTTCGGGTGAGAAATACTGTAATATTGCGTGATTTATCAAATGACTTTATGCATGAGTAACACAAAATATCCGAATATCCAAATATGACTAGTTTTTATACGCTTAAAAACAAATAAATATCATTTATCGAAAACTTTTTAACAAAAATTTGATAATCATATATTATTTTACAAATTTTATAAAACTTAAACAAAATAAGTGAATCTTTCATAGAAACATCTAATATTAAATCGATGGAGTCCACATATGGTATAATTGTTGGAGATGCTTTTTTCAAAGGGCAAATTACTACGGATATAGTGAGGTTAGATAAACATTTTCGTAGAATCTGGAGATCAAAATTAAGTTTAGATTCTTATCCGTTAGACCTTAAACAACTTTGTGAAGAGCTTCGTAAAGAATTTCGCAACGATAATTCTCTTAAAGTTCAAGAAAAGGAATATTTAGAAAGTAAGCTTCTAGAATATCAAGATAAGTTTAATCTGGAAAACCAAACTGGTGTAAAAAGATTATGTGAAGATTGTAATAATTCAACATACGCTACTCAGTTCTGTGAATTTTGCATTCGGAATTATTTAATGCAAAATTTTGACAAATGGGATTCTGGAAATGATAAAATTAATAAAATAATTCAAGAGACGCAAAAGAATGTGGTCTGTCCATATCAGGTTGTAGAATGGATTCCTTATGAAAATTTTGACAATGTAAAGATGCTTAATAAAGGTGGCTTTTCAACAGTTTTTACGGCGACTTGGAAAAATGGATATTTTAACAGATGGAATTCTATAACAAAATCATTAGAAAGACGTGGTGAACCGCAACAAATAGTTTTAAAAGAATTGTATTCTAGAAAACCAAATGACAGTTGGCTTAATGAGGTAACAAAGATTCTTTCGTATTAATTATTAATAATTTAAATTAATTATTGTCTATTTACTAAATAATAGATAACTTCCCATTTCTCAATCGACAAAATAGCTCAATACATTCTTCCTTGCTACGGAATAACAAGGAATTCACAAACTAAAGAATTTATGTTAGTCTTAAATATAATGGAACAAAATTTACAAGATTATTTAATTTTCAATCAAAATATTGAATGGGAGCAAAAATTCGATATTATTTATGAAGTAACAGCTAGTTTAAACGAGATTCACTACAAAGACTACATCCATGGAGATTTGCACGCAAAAAATATCTTAATTCAAAATAATCTAGCACTTTTTGTTAGCGATTTGGGGTTTTGTAGGCCTGCTGATATTATTTCGATTTCAGAAAAGATATATGGGAATCCTCCCTACATCGCTCCTGAAGTTTTATGCGGTGACCCATATACCAAAAAAGCAGATATCTATAGTTTAGGAATAATCATGTGGCAAATTGCAGCTGAAGTACCACCATATCATGACATTAATCTAAAAGAGAAGCGCGTTCAACGTCTTTTCGCAGAAGCAGTTATAGGTGGAATGCGTCCAGATATCAACATAGGAATACCAGAAAAATATAAAATTTTAATGCAACAATGTTGGGATGCAGATCCGGTTAAAAGACCAGATACTTTAACAATTTGGCAAAAAATTCGTGAATTACGACGAGACTTTATCGATAATGGGAATAGGTTTTTTGAAAATGATATTTTAAACATTTCTAAGGACCATATTATTTTATCCAAAGATCAAACATTACAATCAAGAATGTCTACGTCTTGTATTCTTGCGCCTTTTCAAGATTCTTCAAAACCTATTAATGTTTCGCCGGGTCAGTATTATTTTATTTAATTAATTTTTAAATTTATTATTTATTATTAACATTTGTATAAATTATTTTATTTATAGAAATTAGCAATCTATTTTATTTAAATCTTAGTAAGTATAGTTATATTAATATTCAAATTAATTATTAACGCTTTTTAAAATTTATCATTTTCCTATTTTAGAACATTCCAATTAATGGATTAAAAAATCTAAAGCCTTGATTTAATAATTAATTATTTCATTGTTTATATTTTAGTATTAATATATACATGCGCATGGCTATAATTACTATAAACTAATTCGCAAAAATATAAAAATATTACGCTCTTACGTTCACTTTTTCTTTATGGTTTTGAGGTTATTGTTTGACCAATTTGAATTATTGGAAAATATTTATTCGCATCGACTGTTTTGTAGGCTTGAATAATACACATTAAATTTATTGTACAAAAAATTTTTAAACAATCTAATTATTGTTTTTATATAATTTTGTACCGTTGCGGCTTCTCCGGACCCGTTTCTCTCTCGTCAGTAGTTTAATGTTCTTTATTTAAGTTTTTAATGTTAATTCTGTGTACAACCACAAGTATTTGTTCGAAGTTGATCTATGATCAGATTCTATGATCGTATACTCATCTATGGTTTACTTCTACTGCAATGTTAATAATAACCTTTACTCAATTATATACATGTTGATTTTAACCGTAGAACTTCCCTAAATATGTTCCATGTAAATTACTATTAAATCATGTCTGAATGGTGTTAGATCATTAGCCGAGTTATTGTAATCACATGATGCAGGGGCAACATTAATATCCGATTTCAATTCAGGGTTCGATTCCACGTTCAATGTAAATTTATTTCCATAATGTATTATTATTTAATCCTTTGTAGTATATAACAACAAATGCTTTTCCAGAAATAAAATTTCAGTACTATATCATTGTAATATATAACTCAACATAACACCTAGAAACTTTCTACAATGTCTTATGTTACTGATATGTATTTCATACAAATATACAATGGTACTCAAATTATTTGAAATTTTTCTCAAAATATATAACTTATTTAAATTAAATAAAAATTTAAATTTAATGCCTGAATACTATAAAAGAATTTTTACTTAGAACTATTTTATAAGTTATATTATTATTATTATTATTATATATTAATTTTATAACTCAATTTTCATAAAATTCAAGTTTTTATATATGCTTTTTGGTGTTCCAAATGGGTTGGGTCAACCCAAAACTCAACCTAATCTCAACCTGAAATTTTATATTTCGGGTTGGGTCAAAATCAGGTTTGACCCATTCAATATTTTAGTCTGAGTTTAAAAAAAAAATTGATAAGAACTCGCTCTATAATCACTATAGCCCACATTGATCTTATTTACAACCTACAGATCTCAGCATATCTTTGATATCTATATTTTCTATGGTGCTTCTTTTACTTATATTATCCTTGATTCTATAAACTGAATTGGTACCCTCTAGGTTCACATATTTAAAAATCTTTTTTTTCTTTTCCTTAGTCATTTATACAATTAATGTGCTCTTTTATAATTATTCTCTTTCACCAAATGAAACTGAAAATTCTTTTTTGCTTGAGTCCAGTTTCAATAATTATAAGATAATGATCCATGAATTTTCAAATTCAACTGTTAAAATGAACAAAAGGATAATTTTAGTGATTTTTATGTGAATTTATAATTGTAAACATATATTCTTACATTATAGCTTCCATTCCGACATTATCAGTTCTTGAAATGCATGAAAAAGTTGTAATCAACTTGTAACAATTTTAACTTCTTCTGATGAAATTGCTATTGTATGTATTTGATTTAAGTTATAGTATAGGTGACAAAGTATTTTTTTAATCAAAATTTTAATTTAATATACATAAGATATGAAATTTAGAGAAATGTGTTTCCATGTCTATATTTCATAGTTATCATGAACAAATATTGTGTACTACATGGAGTTTAGATAATAAAGATTTGGTTTTTATGAATAAAAATAACACGATATATTTTGGCTAGGCCATCTGAAAATATTTGTGGATTTTTGACTGATATTTAAATTATTACAATAAAAATATCTATTTGTTCTTATATCATTAATTCCATTATATCAATTAATAATAATTATTACAAAACAGGCATGATATAAAAACCTTCCAATATTAAATCCAAAACAAGAAATTGAAAAATTTACCGCTATTAAGTACAACAATTACTTTAATTAATCAAATTATTTTATAATTATTTATATTATTAAAATAATAATATAAGCCAGACCAGATGTATAACAATCTTTAATGCACCTGCAAGTAAAGAAGCTTTCTGCAAAAATGGTCACCACAGGTGGTTATGTGTTAGTTAGCATGTGAGGGGCTACTGATACCAACTATAAGGCTGAGATGTATTGGTAAGTGAAAAATTCAAATTTATTATCAAGTGAAAACCTAATTAATCAATTTTTATTTATACAGTGAGACTATTGCATTCACAAAGCTGAGGCTTGTTTCTGAAGACCTAGAAATATTAGAGTTGTATTGTTCTTGGGCTTTTAACTTGAGAAAGTGGAGGCTTATAAACAGGTTGCTATATGATAAATTAATGTAAAACTTAATATTTCAATAATAAAATTTAATTCATATTTGAATAATTTTTTTACTAACATAAAAAAAACTCTTCCACTATTCCCTTCTGTACTTGAAAATTTTCTTTTTAGGAAACTTTTGAGTTGTTTACTTTTTTTCATTTTCCCCTTCTTTATATACTCTTCTTTCTCCTTTTTTACTCTTTCCTCTTCTTTCTACAAATCTTTATTTACATTATATTCCTTTCTTTTTTTCTTTTTTCCTCTTTCTGCCAAAGTTAGATTTTTTCTTTTCCTTAAAGTTTTTCCTCTCTAGGTCACTCTTTCTTTTAAAATACTGCTTTTTACCTTATCTCTCCTCTGGTCTATTGATTCCTTTCTCTCAAGAATCAATCAAGAAGCAATAACTTCTCTCAAAATATAGACTTTGGAAAAATTTTTTTCTTCTGTGGTTTTTTTTTTTTAAAAAAAAAGAACAGATAGTTTACTTCTTTTAAAAGATCAACATAACCATAATTTCTATATCTGGTATTGTTTACTTGTTAATGGTTAGACTAAATACATCTAAGAAGCTATTGTACAACTATTGTTATCTAAACTTCCAGGAAGTTACACTTTGTTATATCTAATAATATGATACCCAATATCAATGTAAAAATTCTATATATGCCAGGCTAGTGGCTGGAATATCTAATAAGATAACATGTAATGACTAGAGATTCTAGTTATCTCTGCAAGCAAAGCTGGTAATAACAACAAAAGTTCTTCGCTTACCTCTTAACAATGTAAATCTTTGTATATAGTTAAGTACAATATCTATAAGAAATTTCATTACTACTATTACTATCATAACTACTCTATTATCTGGACACTTCTGCTACACTTGGAAAGTGAATAGGTCAATTCCCATGTAAATTGGAGGCTAACCTGTAAAAAGTAATTGCAGTGCCTTTATGCATTAATCAACTTCTTTGCTTGTTATACATCAAACCAAAGCTGAAAAGCAAGTATGCAAATCCTAATTATAACTTGGAAACCAACTTATATATTTGGCTGCAGCACCTTCATATAATTAGATACCATATAAATATGTCAGGCCTGGGTTGGCCACTACTCAAGAGCTTATAGAATTTTTACAGTTTTTTTTTATTACTTGAGTGATTAGTTAAACTAAGGTTAAATAACTAATTTATTTGTGTTACGCATAGACTCTTCTTAGCAAAGAGAGATGTAGTTCAACCTTCTATAATTATAATATTTCTTTTAGTAATCCCTTATAAATAAAGAAAAGACCGATATTATTTTAGTTTTAAAAAAAAATTTTTTTTTACTAACATATATAAAATTTAATAAATTGTTTAATTGTAAATAAGAACACTAATGATGATATCAAAGATATCTGTAGAAAAAATAAATCAAAAAGTAACTAGTAATAGAAAATTAGATAAGTAGCAAGAAATAATATTAATATAAAAGCAAAAATATTTATATAAATACAAACTGTTTAAGAAGTTTCAGTTATTAGTATTACTTGTAGTATATAAATTAATATCTTATTATTATATTATTTTGAAGTATTGTGCCACTAAAAATTTGATTATTTTCTAATGCTTTAATTAATCAAAAACATATTGCTTTATTTATTTTATTATAATAATAAATTTTGTTTTTTTAAAAAAAATTTTTTTCTAAAATTGCAAAAAAAAAGTTTTTAAAATTGCATAAAAAAATTAAAATTGCAAAAAAAAAAAAATCTAAATTTATATTTCAAAATCTATTAATAATCTTTAATATTTTTTTTTTGTATTCTACCAATTTTTTAAACACAAATATACTTTTATAACATTCCCACTTAAATTACATCTTTTTGATATAATAAGATCTGTTTCTTCAAAAAAAATTCTTTCAATTAATATACTAATAGCTATTTTAAAAAATATTAATAATTTTATTTAATATAAAAAAAAATAATATTACCTGGTACTGCAAAAAAATCTTGGAACTATTTTTGCAATATTTGAAAATTCTGTTATATGCAACTATAAATTAAAAATATTTTAATAAATAATTTAATATTTTATTATAAAATTTAAATTAATTACCTTTCACTAAATTAAAACAGTGGTATTTTTATCAAATGATAATACATATGATATATTTAAATATATATCAACTTTACCTATATATTCAACTTTATAGCATTTGTAAATATAAGTAGTCAACTTATTATCTTTATCATTTTGATAATGTAATTCTTCTTTTATTGCTGAAACATATTTTTTATAATAATATAAAATAAAAATTGTCTTCATATAAGTAATATAATATTTTTTCTAATTTTTTTCATAATAATAATTAAGTTTTAATCTTGAATCCTAAACCAAAAAATAAAATAATAATAAGTAAAAATAAAAAAAT